AGAACAGTGAGATGGGTCTGGGATAGAAAGAGTGTAAATTTTAGAGTCAGGAGGCTAGGAACTCCAACTCCATTGCTTTTCAGTCCTACATCTCAACCAAATGACTTCTTCCTGAATCTCAGTTTCCCCATGTATGAAGTGACTGTGATTACAGATCTCATATATGTAAAATGCTTGGCACAGAGTATACATCTTTAAATTATTTTGATTGCCCTTTATCTCTGTTTATCTACAAAACTCTTGATGGTTGGCTTATAGTATACACACTTTTTCTTTCAAATCAGTGGAAACATAAATGGATGATGAATAGATTCACTTAACACTTATTTATTAAACACAACCATGTACCAGGCAGATGGGAACACAGCAGTGAACAAAACAGACAAAACTCTGCTCTGGTGGGACTTTCGGTTCCTAAATTGAGATGTAGGGGTGGCTCAAAAGTCTGTGAGAGGACAGTCTATGTGCCCCCCATCCCAGGCTCCCCAGTTCACTGATACAAATCTAATAAACTGGGAAAGCAAAGTTCCCGAGAGGTCTAGATGTTAATCCCACTTCCTAATAACAATGGGGAGGCTCCTGTCCTCTCCCTTAATCGCTTCTCGCTTATCAAGCCCCAGCTTCCTGTTGTGACCCAGGGGACCTAGTGAGTTGCGTTGTTTGGCAGGAAGAAATGTCAAGGAGGGCTCACACGGTTCTTGGGCTCTGATGCCTGAAGTGGTGGCAGGAGGAAATGGGAAACAGCACACACACACAAAAGGCCATCCACAGTGAGATTTGCCTATCTCAGCCTCCAAGAGATAAGCAAGCTCAAATGCCTTGTGAGGGTGCAGAGGGGTTGTTATTTCAACAGCAGGATAATCATACTTCACATGTTATGGTTATCTTTAAGAAAAGCCTTCACCACAGGAATCTCACTTAACCCTCAGACTGTACGAGGTAGGAATTAACCCCATTAATCCCACCTTGCCCTTGTAAACTGACTCCTCTTACCTCATTCCTTATCCCTCCCTGAGAAATCATAGCCATCTCCTCCCAGCCAAGACCGTTAAACTTGTCGAATACGCTTATTACTTCCACTTCCATTCACTCATCCCACTGTGCACCAACCCTAAGTGCCACTGAGATTGTTCTTGCTGTCCCCAGTGACGTCCTGTTTGTCCGGTCTTCACAGATACTTGTCAGCCTCTATCATGGCTGGCTTCTTGTAGCTTCTGAAGCCAATGGCTGCTTGTTCTCCTCAGCCTGCTTCTGTTCTGTCGTGGTTTCAGATTCTTCTGCTACCCTCGATGCTTTCCACCACAGAGGCCCACCTGTCTGTCTCCCCCTTTCCTTTCCTTACGTGAATTCTATCCCCTCAAAATCCTATTCCAGCTTCTGGTTTGAGCACTCTTTCCTGACCGTTGGTCTCATCACCTGTCACCTGCTCGCTCTTCTCAACCTCCAAGACATATCCCGGTCCCTTTCCGCGCTTTCACGTGACTGCTACATAGAGTCAATAAAGCACTTGGCGTCTTTTTTTTATGATATGCTAATGTTTCTTTAAGGTGGTGATTTCTCGGGTTTTGCATTCCGAGTACCTGGCTCTGTGCCTGGGACACGGCAGACACCGAGGCTTAGAGGTGTTTGGCAAATTCTCCAGACTGAAGCAGTTGGAGGGTGCAGCTAATTTGGTCTTCTGACTCTGGGTCTCAGCATGGAACACAGCAAGGTTGCAAGAATTTGATTCTCCATACCTAAGACACCTGTGAGCCTTGTGAATCAAGGGGCAAGGTGGTGGGGAGGATTTCCTCTTCCCCACAAACATTGCTCATTTACCAGGTGTGGAAGCTTTCGTATTTGTAGTCTTCCTTTCACACTTCCCAGGATAAGAGAAGAAAAAAAAAACACCTCCCATCTCTTCCTCCCAATAGACAGTCACCACCATCACTTCCTTTTGAGCCAGGAGGCAGGAAGCCTAGCTTAGTTCATGAAACTCCCAGTTAGCATTAGGTTTCCTCTCAGAAGAATGTGCTAGGGAAAGATCTAATAAGACTCTATCACCGAGTTAGCCATGGATACTCTCTACCATCCTGAATTAACATTCCAGGAAATGCACCCTCCCTGCCCCCTCCCCCCCAAAAAGGAAACTTGGCTTGCCCTGGGATAAACAAGCTTTCTAGAGAGAGACTCTGCAGCAGACAATGTGTGCCTTCGCCAATTACAAGCTCAAATTCCACCCAAATACACACAATCAAAGGCTTTACCAAGGCCATGATTACATGTACATGGCCCTCCTGCTGGTGGGGTAACATTTTAGTGCGGGCAGTGAAGCAAAAGAAAATGCCATCAAAGCGGGGAGGAAGGGACGGCTTGTTTGGAGTGGCAGGGTCTCTTTCCCACCTGATGACTCACTTCACCTTGTCATTTTAACGCCACAGTCTGGGAGGGAGAGAAGGAAACCGAGAGGAAAAGAGTGGGCTGTGTGTGCATGTAATTTGTTTCACCGTTCTAGACGGCTTTTTAATGAGCTTTCTCATTAAGGGCTCTGTGGGTCTATGCTTAAAGTTTTCCGGAAAAGCCGATTAGCAGGCTGAAATCAGATGGCACCTTCCCCGTCATGGCTTGTTTCCGAGGTACTGTAAGGGAGGGAGACTCTGTAAGAAGAGAGACTTGTCCTAGCAAATTTGAAACCAAATGACGTGACTTAGGCCAATCCCCATGAAAATACTAATGTTCATCAATTATTAGAATATCAGAGGCATCTGTGATAGCTTTGCTCTATTCAACTTGTTCCTGAGAACAGAGAGGATAACTGTCTTGTGCTATCCTAGCCCTCAGCTCATGTTTCCTGTAGGGCACGCATTATATTGCATCAAAAGATAAAGTGCCCTCTGGGCTCTGCCCTTGTAGTAAGATGGGCACCAAGTCTCAGCTGGCCCTCCTTTTTACTTCTAGGGCCCAATGCGGTGTGCAAATCTGGTGTTATGGCCCCTAAATATGATTTAACCATTGCACTAACTCAAGGAGGTGCCTCCGGCACATGAAAACTACATCAAAGATTTAGGCAAGTACTGAGCTGCACATCAGAGTACTTTATCAAGTTGCACGACTCCGAATACATTTTAATGTGCTGACAGCCCCTAAGTAAAGCAACAGCCTTTATTTAAAACTGTCCAGAGGAAGAAATGTATTGAGATTCAGAGAGACAATTGTTTTGTTGCTGTGACATGGTCTGTTGGGTTTCTGAGTATGAATGGGTCCTTTTCATAATAGAGAGATAGATGTGGCTTTTGCTTTGTTTGCCTCGCCAGTGAGTTTACTTAGCAGAATACAAGCACAGATGCATGAAAGTGAATCCTAGCTGGTGCCTATGCTTGAGCCAATTGTCCAGTATACCCTGCTTCTGCTTGGATGGTACAAAGAATGTTCTATTCCCAGTGATTCTAGAGACTTCCATATGATATATTCGTACACCCTGACACAATGTTGGTCATCGGCGTAAATATCATGGGGCATAAAACAAAGAGAGGGGCTGGAGCTGCCCCTGAATTCTGATTCATTGGGTTGGGTACAAACATTAAGAAAGGGTGGATGCGCCGGGCGGTGGTGGCGCACGCCTTTAATCCCAGCACTCGGGAGGCAGAGGCAGGCGGATCTCTGTGAGTTCGAGGCCAGCCTGGGCTACCAAGTGAGTTCCAGGAAAAGGCGCAAAGCTACACAGAGAAACCCTGTCTTGAAAAACCAAAAAAAAAAAAAAAAAAAAAGAAAGAAAAAAAAGAAAGGGTGGATGCAATCCTCCTTAAAATGTTTGCTGAGTGGTCCAGCTTCCCCCAAGTCTGGTGAAGAATAGTCTTGTATCCATGTCAAGGGCGATCTCTCTCTCTCTCTCTCTCTCTCTCTCTCTCTCTCTCTCTCCACACACACACACACACACACACACACACACACACACACCCAGAGTCAGTGAAGAAGAATGAGTGATCCATGCCCAGGGACATCAGAATGAGCTTGAATGTTCTGAGATCAGCTATGTCAGCCCTGTGGTCAAGGACAGCAGCTGTAGATCCCTGAAGGTTTTGATGGAGAAAAGGCCAATCTTCCAGCTGGTATGGCATCCTATTGGACGGCATTTATAGTCTCTGCAAACTCCCCTGATGATTTGACTTCCTGCTGAAGTTCCAGGACTTCTGACCTAGCGGTGCCTTGGATCACTAGAGGGCAGCCTGGAACAGCCTTTTCCCAGCATTTGTCTCTTGCCAACTGACAAAGCTGTGGCACCCACGTTGTTCTGGGCAGGAGCTTGCCAGCCCATGCTGAAACCAGTTTCCTTTCAGAAACTTGTCTAGTCGCCATATCACTGAATATATCCTGCATGCATTTCCACAGTGGCACTATAAAAATCTGATTTCCAAAGAAAAATGAGACCTTAAGGACTTACAAACTGTGTACCCTAAAACATTAGATAGTAAAAGTATCAAAGGCATTCTTCCCACTCTCAAAAAATTCAAAGATAAGGCAATACCATAAAGACTTCTTTTAAAAATTATCATTGGAAGCAATTTTCAAATTAATAGAATAAATCAGTAAATTAGACATAGACAGATGCCAGTCTTGGTTAACTGGTTAACTTGGTTAATCAAGGTGCCCCAGGCCCCAGCTGACTGCAATCGTTGCCGACCAAGATGCATGCAAATGATTATAGGGAGGGTAGGATGAAAGGGGGCCTTAGAATAAAGTGAGAAGAAGAGAGGTGAGGGAGGGTAGCCTGAAGTCTAACTCAGGGCCTTATCTTTGTGCCTCAGCAGGTACTTAACTAAATATCATCAGCCATCAATTTCCATATTGGCATAGTGTCCGCGTATTCAGTAAAAGCTTGCACAGTGCTAACGGGTGCCTGCCAAGCACTGGGAATACAATGGCAGACAAGACAAAGACTTCCGTGCTGCCCTCAGCTGTTTGCGGGCCAGTAATGGGAAATGAATAAGCAATTACGAAGGAGCATACTAACTGACAGGTAAAGCAGGGTCTGTGGATGTCCACAGAAGCCTAACCCAGAGTACAGGAGAAGCAAGGACGCTTCCCACTGGTACAATTCTCCATTGGAAGCAGAGAGAGAAAAGGCATGGTTGAAGGACAGGAAAGAGAGGAAGCAGGACATAATTTGAGGAACTGAAAGAAAGGCGGCGAAGCTGGGTGAGTGGGTAAGGAGGCGCACAAGATGGACAGGGCCAGAATACAAAGAGCCTGTTCTAATGGGGGTGTTCAGTGATAACCCTCAGGGCACTAAAGGGTTAAGCGCGGCAGTGGTAATCAGGCCCCCATATTAGGAGGGCCTGCTGATGCCAGGGTCAGTGCTGCCTTGGAACATTGACGAACAAACAAATCCGCAGGACTCTGCCTTTCCCTTTAATTGGACCTTTCCGGTTTCCTTCCTCCATCCATATTCACCAATTTCCCTTGAAACCCTTTCAAAACAGAGTTCTATTTTAAGGTCATCTTCGCTGGGGAGGAAGCAAGAAGAACCTAGCAAATGTGACTGTCACACTCGCTGAACTGCCTGTCCTCAAGTCCTGCGGTCCTTGCAGCAGGTAATCTTGAGGGAAGTACCGAGGGAGGCAGGGGACACCAAATCCCAAGCCTGTTCCCTAGGTTGGACATCCTTCACCCTTACTGTTTGAAGATACAGCAGAGGGGAAAACATGGAATGCTTTGGGTCCCTGCACAGAACATATGCAAAATGTACAAAGAGGCCTTATGTCCTGGGTAGCTGATGTTCAGGACTTCCCTTTGACCCACGTGTCAAACTTTAAAACCCCTAATCAAGCCTCCTGTCCCGACCTACAGGTTGCCAAGAGGCAGGTGAGGACAGTAAACTTTGATGACCAGAAGGAGCGCTGCACAGCACAGCCGCTTAAGCCTTATTTAATTAAAGTCTAGTTCCATGCTTGTTTGCCTAAAGAGTGATATAAGAAAAGACACCCCCTCCCTTTTTTTTAACGGACTCCACCCTCAGGCCTATCCCAGCCTGCACTGTATTCTCATTTCCTAAAATGGAGAATAAGCCTTCGGGTAACACAGGTTCTTCCATTCCGTTCCCGGGACAGGAGACTCACACCCAGTTTCCTTTCCTTCAGAGCAAGGAAGAGTCTGTGTGGAGGGCCTGGAGCCTCTGGTCACAAAAATAGACCACTGGAGCGCGTGGATTTTCCTTTCCTGACAGTGAGCTTACTCAGGAAGAGGCTCTTACATGAGATTTTTTTTTCCCCTCTGTTTTTTTCACCAAAAAAAAAAACAAAAAAAAACATTCAACGGAGAAACAAAAGGGTTGGAAAGAAGCTCTTTTAGCCCCATCCTCTTTATTCTCCAAAACAGGCTCAGACGAAGCGGTCCCCACCGCCACCCCCATAGCTCCCTTTTGGTGTACACCCACCTCCTCCCACCCCCTCCCACCCCAAGAGCTTCCAGATTCCTTTGCACCATGCCCCACCGAGTCCTAAAAGAACCACCGTCTCTGATTGTTGGGCTCATAACTGAAACTTCCCACACAGCGATATGAAGAGACATATGATTCAAGCCTCTCCATTCCAGAAATATTATTAGTCTCGGAAAAAAAAATAGGGGCCTGCTCTATGTCTGTCACCTGAAATAAACTCCCAGTTCCTTCCCCACTGCTTCCCAGATGCTCGATTCTAAAGATTATTCAAGCTTATTTTGCCACCCCCAGGTTCCTTACCCCAACAGTGCCAGAGAGAGGGAGGAGGAAGGTGAAGCCCTCAGACGTTAGCCATCTGGGGGGCGGGGGGGGGGGAGGTGGAAGGGGGGTGTGGTCACATGGAGGGAAAATGTGCCGGTCTAACCCCGAGACTCCCTGGAGAATCCAGTTTGTGTGTCTTTGCAGAGCTCAGAACAGCCTGTATGTTCTCTCCCTGTGGTGTGCCTGGCGCTTCCCCAGTGAGCTATCTCCTGTAGAAGCTTTTCCTGTGAGGGATGGGGAGCTTTTGTTCTCTGCGAAATCTGGCGCAGCTAATTAAAAGCATTGTCCTGGGAGGCGGGAAGTGGAGGGCTTCCAGGGACCCGTGTTTTTACCGGGGGAAGAGTAGCTGCTGCGTGCTAGTGAGGTGTTCTTGATCTCTTGGCCCTGCTGGGCCAGCCACTTCAGTGGGAGATTTTGATAAAGCCCAGTAAAATAAAAATAGACACATGAAGCACCAGCTTTCCTTTTCTTCCCTGAGCACGTGTTCTGCGACGAGCTGGGTTTCTATTACAAACCATTTCAGAGAACGGCCCTCCAATAGTTGGACTTTTGACTCCGCCTGACCTGGAAGATTTTGGAGATCATGGGACCAGAGCCTCGACCTGTTTCACTCATTTCCTGATTTCCAATTGCGTGCAGGCATGTTGCTGAAGTAAAATGTCTAGTAACATTAGTTGTCGGTTGACCGCGTAGAAGTAGTTAAACAACTCTTAGCTATTAATTTGAAAACATGAGCGGTTGGGGCTGGAGAGATGGCTCAGCAGTTCGGAACACGGGCTGCTCTTCCAGAGGAACTGGGTTCAATTCCCGGCACCCACATGGGAGGCTAACAACCATCTGTAACTCCAGTTCCAGGGGGTCAGACTCCTTCTTCTGACCTCCAAGGGTACCAGGAATGCATATGGTACACAGACATACATGCAGACAAATACTCATATACATAAACTAAAATAAAAATAAATAAAGCAGGAGTATGGTATCATATGATATAGCATCATACAAGTCTTAAAATAATGTATAATCTAGGATTGTCCCCACAGTGGCAAACTCAAATTAGGACCAAACTTTGTTGAGGCAGTATTCATTTGAGAAAAACCACTTCTCTGGTTTGCTCTCTCTAGAGTCAAGAAGCATCATTCATTCACCAAATGCTACAAGTATTTATTGCTATGGAGTATTAAAGATTTGTTACATTCTTTTACGCTGTGGAATATTTGTTTAATGATGCAAAGATGTGTTGCATTCTTTTATGTTGCATTTGTTTAACTCTGTGAAGCTGTGTTACTTTGCCTGTCTAAAACACCTGATTGGTCTAATAAAGAGCTGAATGGCCAATAGCAAAGCAGGAGAGGGATAGATGGAAGGACAAAAAGAGAAGAAAGGGCGAGAAGAGAAAGAGAGGCGGATGCCATGGGTCAGCTACGCGGCCAGCCAGAGAATAAGAAGGAAAGAAAAGATATGCAGAAATAGAAAAAGGTAAAGGCCCAGAGGCATAAGGTAGATGGGATCATTTAAATTAAGAAAAGTTGGCTAGAAACAAGTCAAGCTAAGACTGGGCATTTATAAGTAGTAATAAGTCTCTGTATATTTATTCTGGGAGCTGAGTGGCAGGCCCCCAAATTGTCAAAAGAGAAAAAAAAAAAAAAACCTACAATTTACTGACCATGAACTATATGCCAGGCAGTGCCCTGGATGCCTGGTATGTAGAAGTGAGTAAAACAAATATACATCATATGGTGCCTGTAGCCAGGGAAAATGAATAATAAACAATGTCCAATAAGTAGATTAGAAAATATATTAAGTGGTGATAAGTGCCTGGAGTCAGGGAGTAGATTAAAGTAAGACCACCGGGGAGAGTTATGATGCAATTGAACAGAGAGACACGGCAGAAGTGATAGAATTAGCTTGAGGTAGCCAATGGTGAAAAACTCAAGATGAGCATACACCTGGAACAACGGGAACTTTGTGACTGCAGTCGTAAAGGACAGGAAGAGAGAGCAAGGAGGTGACACTCTGGATCAGCAGAGGCCTGGGTGGCACTATAAGGATTTTGTCTTTGATGGGAAAGAGGGAGCCATCAGAAGTTTGGAAGCAACGCAATAAAATGGTCAGATTCAAGTTTTAACCCAATCACCCTGTCTGCTATGAAGAAAAGACCCTGTGGAAAAGATCAGCAAAAGAGATGGAGCCTGAGTATATACACATATTTTCCCGCTGGATAGATTTTGAAAGTAGAGCCAGCCAGATTGCTGATCGATTAGATGTGGAATGTGAGAATGAGAGTCAAGTTCAGGCTAACGCCAAGACTTTCGGCCTGCAATTGAGAGGAAGGAAAAAGCATCAACGGAGAAGGGGGAAGGAAGGCTACACCAGGTCGCTGTGAATCCATCTGATCCAAGTAACTTGATCTGTGGCTCTCGTTCACATGTGCTCACGACAGCCATAAGGGGCATCTTTGCCAGTTACACCAGAGACTCTGCTTCATAGACAATAGGTCTGGATTGAGGTCCAAGAATAGATATTTAATGTGCACATTAAATAGTGAACCACTGAGTTGTTTTAAAAAACAAACAAAACTGATGAGAGTCAAGGTGCTTAAAATTCTAGATTTCATAATGAACAAATGAAAGGATTTATAGACAATTCTCTCACTCTCTATGATGAACTATATACTGTGGTTCCTCCTTTGAATATATATTATAAATGAATTGTTTAGCTTATTACCAATTAAAGCCAAAATGATTTAAAAAAAAACAGCCACATAGAATATAGCTGTGAGGTTAACTTTCAATCTCTTCCAGTGGGAAATTAATAACACTGCTTACAGAACAGTAATTTGATGAGTAAATTAAGGTTGTTTTGATATCATGTAGTTTGACCTATCTAAACATCAAGCCAACCACCATACCTTCAACAGTGACCAGAAAGGGTTGGGAAAGGCTAATTATCACTGTAAAATAAATGACAAGACAAGATGCGTGTTTCCAGAGAGTGGGGTATGGTAGTGCACACCAGTAATGCTGGCAGGCTGGGAGGCAGAAACACGATGACCATTGAGAATCAGAAGCCATCCTTGTCTACACAGCAAGTTCCAGGCTAGCTAGTAGTACACTAGCCAGCAGTACACAGTGAAACCCTAACTCAAAAGAAAAACAAACAAACAAACCAAAAGCAAGAACAAAAATAAACAAACAAAAAACCCACAAAGCAACAACAACAACAACAGCAAAAAACCCAGTAACAGAAAGATAATCATCTCCAAGGACATTGGTAGTGATACTTAAAAGGGGGCATAATGATCTGTCTGGGACTCATCCTGATCCCAGTTTCCAGATTTGAAAACTGAGACTCAAGCCCATCACATTCTTTCTTATACTCAACTAGAAAGTCAGTGAGGGGTCTAGGCTTCCGAGCTGCAAATCAATGGCCAGGCAGCCAGCAAGGCTGGTTCCCAGGGCTGTCAGCACTTGCTTGTCACAATTGGTTCCACCAGGGGTTGCAATCCCTTGGTGAAAAGAGAGCTTGCATAATGAAGCCATATTCAATAGGGACTCGCTATTCAGTGTGCCTCCCGACTGGATCGCTCTTTTATCCAGGATCATTTTCTGCAGCTATTTATTTCTGTGCGGTGGTGGAAACATTGACGACAAAATGGCACCTTCTTACCCGGCTGCCTGTGCGTCTGACTCACACCTGCTGACAGGACCAAGCCTGTCAGCGGCGTGGTTCCCCCGGGGAGCCGGAGGTGGGTATTAACTTGCCCTTGCCCTCCCCATCATGGTCATGAAGACTGTCAGCTGAGTTCTGGTTTAAAAAAAAAAAAAAAAACAAGAG